GCGGCCCTGGCCGGGGACGGCTGGAGCTATGCAGGACCAGGAGTCGCAGATCCTTCAAGAGCGTTCCGAAACGTCCCCAGAGCGTTTCGGAGCGCTCTGGGGCGGCCGCGGCGTCTGATACACCCAGACAGAGGCCGAATATTCGCCACAACCTGCCGCCGTGATCTCCTCGCAGCGAGAGGCTCGGAGGGGAGGGTGGCGCGCAGGCCAGGAGGGTCCGTGCACCATCCCAGGGCGCAGGGCGGCCATGGCCTTGGACGGTCGGGGCTAGATGAAGCGCTCCCAGAGAGTTTCGGAGCTCAGCAGCACACGCACCGTGCCAGAAGCGTCCGTGTCGGCACGCTGCGAGTTGGCTCGGCACGTGGTGGCCCGCGTTTCGGCGGACGCATCGCACCAGACCTGCGTTGCCAGTCCGCGGGCTGAGTTCCGCGTCGACGCGCTGCGTGCTGCGTGTTGCACATCGGGACGGCTGAGTTTCGGGGCGCTCTGGAGCGGCCGCGGCGTCCGATAGATCCTCCAGGGCCGCCAGACCTCAGAACCCGCCGCTCTACCCCCGTCCGACCGTGTCGCGGCCCTGGCTCCGTCTTACCCGGAGCTCCGACGCTGCGAGCAAAAGAAAAAATGACACCTCACGAGAAGCCACTCCCGGAGCCTTGTAGGCCCGATCTGTTTGGGCGTGGCTTCATGGGGGGGTCACAAATGGGGGGGGTCAGGAAAGGTCCCCTTTCGTGCCCCTTTCGGGCCCCTCCGGAGCCCCAGGGGGCTCGTTTAGGTACCGTTTGGGTACCTTTTCGGACCACCCTCGCCACCCCCCCATTTATGACCCCCCCATTACGCAGCGCCCAATCTGTCTGCGCCACGAAGGATTGCAAAAAAACCGAAGGATTGCAAAAAACACCCTTGAACGAAGGATTGCAAAATAAAACCCTTCGTACGAAGGGTTGTTTTGCGATACTTCACTTCGTTCCTGGGTTTTTTGCAATCCTTCGTTTTTTTGCAATCCTTCGGTCGAGCTGGGTCGATATGTGAGGGCCCAGGGGCCCGAAACCGGGCGCAAGCGCCCCCTGGTGGACACAATGCGGCGTCTGGATCTGAGGGTGCACGGCGCCGCCCGTGGTGTCGGGGGCGGCAAAATGATGACTACTTGGGGAGGGGGGGTCCATGGCGTGGGCCATGCTATTTCCTCAGATTTCATGGCGCCTCTTCTTGTTTCCTTGCGTTCCTGGCCCCCCCGCTGGGCCGCGTGCTCTCTTGGACGCTTATGGCTGCCAAGGGAATGCTAAGAGGAATGATTAGGAATCCCATGATTTGCAACCCTTTGTCCCCTCTTGGACGCCCCCCTCTTGGCCGCCCCCGATGGTGGTCTGCGGGGGCCTTCGGCAGCGTGCCCGGCGCCCGGAGCGCGCCAGGCACGGCCCCGCAGGGCCCCGAGTGGCGCACGTTCGGGCAGCCGCCCGCGGGGCTCCGCGAGCGCCAGCGAGGCGGCGCCCCGCCTGGCGCCCCGGCCCTCCCCCGCCCTCCCCGCCGCCCTCCTCCTGCCTCTTGCCCGCCCGCCTCCGCGCCCCTCCGCCCCATCCCCCCAGGCCCCCATCCCTCCCACCTTCCTCTGCTGCCTCGCTCGCCTCTCTCGCGCCCTCCTCCGCGCTCCCATCTCTCTCCCCCCCGTGCACTGCCCTCCTGCATGGTGCCCGCGGGCATGTCTCCCTCCTTCACTTTCCTGCGGGCGTGCCTCTTCTTTCCTCTTCGCTGACCCTCTCCCCTCTCTCTCTCTCTCTCTCTCTCTCGGGTTCTTTTTTATTTTTCTTTTTGTTTCCTCTCTCTCTCTCCCTCTCTCTCTCTATATATATATATACATATATATATATATGTAGCCCCTCGCATATGCGGATAAGAGTGAAGGGGGCGGTGGGGACGTCGGCAGTTTGCGAGACTCTGGAGAAGCTTACCGCAGGCGCCGAAGTTTCACAAATCATACAACGAGCCCGCCGCAGGCGCCGATTTTTTCGTTAAACCAATGTGGGTAGGTCGCGGGTGGGTCGCGGGTGGGTCTCGGATGTGTCGCGGGGTGGGTCGCGGGTGGGTCGCGGGTGTAGGGGGCAGAAAATCAGCCCCATAACAATCACCCCGGCAAGCGAAGCCGTTTAGTAACACAAGGAATGAATCGAACAGGGAAGGGCTGTTTAGTAAACGCCCAGGGCCATTTAGTCAACATCAATTGTCAGGTCCGGGTGGTTTTTCCTCCCTTGAGGGTGGGCCGCGGGTAAATCGCGGGGTGGGCCGCGGGTGGGTCGCGGATGGGTCGCGGGTGGGTCGCGGATGGGTCGCGGGGTGGGTCGCGGGGTGGGTCGCGGGTGGGTCGCAGTTGGGGCCGCGGGTGGGTCGCGGGTTGGGTCGCGGGTGGATCGCGGGGTGGGTCGCGGGGTGGGTCGCGGGGTGGGTCGCGGGGTGGGTCGCGGGGTGGGTCGCGGGTGGGTCCCGGGTGGGACGACGACGACAAATAACAACAACAACAACCTCAACAACAACAACAACAACAACAACATCAGCAACAACAACAACCTCAACAACAACAACACCAACACCACCAACAACAACAACAACATTAACAACAACAACAACAACAACAACAACAGCAGCAGCAACAACAACAACATCATCAACAACAGCAGCAACAACAACAACAACGACAACGACGCAACAAGCAGAGTTCTCACCACACATTTCCTATTCAGCCAAGCACCCAGGGACATTGAATAACCGTTCGGCCCTCTCACTCTGATATGTACATCAGGTGTGTATATATATATATATGTATCGTTGTCTCTTTTGTTCTCTCTCTCTCTCTCTCTATCTCTCTCTCTCTCTCTCTCCTTTCTATTGTGTCTCTCTCTCTCTCTCGCTCTCTGTCTGTCTGTGTGTCAGAACATGGCAATCAGCCTCATCAGTACAGCTCCCGTAGTCAAGCACGTCGTGAATTGCGAATGGCCCGGCGGCAAAACCGGTTTAAATGTTTGAGGGTTTGCAGCTTCGTGTTGTTGCGCTGTCGTGGCTCGGGCAGCCAGCGCCATTCTCCCAAACAGCACTTGCACCGAAGGGTCTATTGCTTCTTCTGTAAAGGCCTGCCTTCCAGAGCCGCCAATAGGAGGAGGAGGAGGAGGAGGAGGAGGAGGAGGCGGAGGAGGAGGAGGAGGAGAAGGCTCCGTGGCTGGACGTGTCCCCGATTGTGCCCGGCCGTCCACGGCCCTCGCATCGCCAACTGCCCTGCCTGGCCGTGGCGTCGACTGCCCCCAGCTCTGCTGCTGCCCTCCGCCGACGCCCGTGCGATCGGCCGGAACCCTGACCTGCAGGGGTACGTTTCGCGCGTGCTTGCCCAGCGTCGCGCCCGGCCTCCCCACCTGGCCCCCGTGCCCCCGGGTGCTCCGCGGCCCTGGCGCTGTCGCCGCCGGCGTGCTTCTGGCCAGCCGTGGCCCGGGATGCCGTCCCCAGCCCGGCCTTTTTGTGCCCTCCCTCGGGGAACGGGGGATGACATAAACGTGGAAGCTCGGGGAATGCTTCTGTCATTCTTCCTTCCCCTACTCCTGCCCGTCCGCGCCATGCCCACGCGGTGCGGCTTCGTTTTGTGGGATGCCTTCTTCAAGGGGCTGCGCTTTGGTCATCACGGTGCAGGGCCCCGTGCCAGAGCGCTGGTTGCAGACGGTGAGGCTTCAGTGGAGGAGGCGGACGGGGACGGGGCGCGGGAGGCAGGAGGGGAGGAGGAATGTGAGGAGTTGGTTTTCTTCAGGAGGGAAAGAAACACACAGACACAATTAATCGTCGACTCCCCAGAAAATATGCGAAAATATGGGAATTGGGCGGGAAGACAGAAATCCATAAAATATGGGAAAATATGGGGAATCATTTTATTTGTGTGTACTTATTTGTGTGTCCCAGGGCCCCTTCATTTCTGGTGTATTGGTTGACTGGTGCAGGAAGGTGGAGGTACGTTTGGACCCCTCCCCTGCAGCCGTCCTCGTTGGCCGAGGGGCTGCAGGGAGGTCCTCGGCCCCCTCCATTGGCTACTGACGCCGTGAAGTGTTGGTGCATTGGTGCACTGGTGGGAGAGGGCGACCCCAGCGGCCCCTATGATGGCAGCCGCAGGGGGTGTGAGGCCTATGATGGTCCTCACTGGTGAGGCCTATGATGGTCCTCACCGGGGTGGGGGTGGGGGAAGAGGGCAGGAAGTCGAAGCGTGCCGCGCTGTTTGTGATCAAGAGGAGGAGGAGGAGGAGGAGGAGGAGGAGGAGGAGGAGGAGGAGGAGGAGGAGGAGGAGGAGGAGGAGGAGAGGGAGGAAGAGAGGGCCGCAAGCGTCATCCCACGCCACCCCCCCCTCCTCAAAAACGCCGCAGGGCGAGTCAGGACTGAATTAGCGGAGACTCTGGCGGTTGGGTGCGAAGGGTTTTGGTCGTCACAGCGGCGTTCGCCAGCTAGCCACGCCCCAGTCCCCGAGCATCAACGCTCCGAGCTTTTCCAGGTCTCGCGAGGCAGAGCGACACGCTGTCCGCTTGCAGGGTATAGCGTGTCGCCAGGGCGCCGCCGCGACACGCTGAGCGAAAGCTCCCGACCGTATTCAAGTATGCCGCGTGTAGCCCCTCCTGTGTTTGTGTCCCCGCTGGTTGGTGCCATGCTGGATATACCAGCGTTCCCGATGCCCAGCCGGATGCCGGTCATGCAGCTGCCCGGGGCAAGTCCGGCCACCGGGCCAGCCCAGCACTTTGGGTGGCCACTGCTCAGGGGGCGCGCACATCTCGCAGTCCTGGTCCTGAACAGTTACGGCTCGAGCGGGGCTGATTATTTCTGAGGTCTTTCCATGGCTGTTCTGGTAGCCCTCCAAGTGACCGCAGGCGCTTTGGAGCTAAAAAGGGGAGTCTTTCCTCATAAATCGTTCCTTATTTCAGCAGCCCCACTGCAGCTTCTCCCCCTCCCCCTCCGCCCCATCCACCCTCCTATCCCTCCTCCCCCCCCTCCGCCCGCACCCCTCTCCGTCCCCCCCACCTCCCTATATCCGCCCCCCCTCTCTTCCCCTCCGCCCTCCCCCCCCCTCCCTCCTCCTTCCCTCCGCCCTCCCGAACCCCCCCCTCCCGTCCCTCCTTCCGATCCGCCTCCCCCCCCTCCCTGCCCTTCCCCCGCCCTGCCCTTCCAGCTCCCCCCCACCCCCTCCCTGCCCTCCCCCCGTCACCCGCCCCTCCCCCCTCCCTCCCTCCTTCACTCCCCCCTTCCCCCTCCCTCCCTCCGCCCTCCGTTCTCTCCGCCTCCCTGCCCTGGAGGCTCCACGGAGCGCCGCTGGTGCGCGAAGGAGGGGTGCTACAAGCCAGACCGCTCCCACCACAGCCGCGCGCTGGGGCGCGTCGTCCTCCGAATGGACCACTACTGCCCCTGGGCTCCCAGGGGGAGGGCGATGATCGGGGAGGGTCAGTCCTCCTCCTCCTCCTCCTCCTCCTCCTCCTCCTCCTCCTCCTCCTCCTCCTCCTCCTCCTCCTCCTCTCCTCTCCCTCCTCTCGCTACCCCCTCCCTCCTCCCTCCTCCTCCTCATCCTCCTCCTCTTCCTCCTCCTCCTCCTCCTTCTCCTTCTCCTCCTCCTCGTCCTCCTAGGGGGGGAGAAATTGTGGTATCGCTGCTCGTCCTGGAGAGCCCTCGTTGCCACGTCGGGGTTCTCCTCGAACCTCTAGTCAGAACGCGCCCCAGGAGAAGTGGGTGGAGAGCAGTATCGGCACCCTTTTGCTTCCCCAGGACAGGGGGGAGGGGGGGCCGAGGTGGAGAATAAGGAAGGAGATTCGAAACAAGGTCCAAATTCGCAGATGGGGCACCGCGCCCCTGCTGTGAGCTGGACCTTGAGGGGAGATGGCCCCCGTCCTGGCCGCGCAGGCCTTGGAGAGTGGCACCGCACGAGCAACCCCAGCACCCGAAGGAGTGCCAGCATGCAGGGGCGGTGCCCCTTCTTGGGCGACGTAGGACGGGAAAGGGGGGAAGGGGGCGGGGGAAGCGAAAGGGATGGGGGACGACGAGGGCTGAAGGAGGCAGGACAGGAGAGTGCATGGGGGAGAGGGAAGGAGGGAAGGTGTGCAGGAATGGGCGGTGGGAGGAGGAGGAGGAGGAGGAGGAGGAGGAGGAGGAGGAGGAGGAGGGGCGAGCTTTCCTGCCGCAAGGGGCCTGCGGTGGGGAAGCCGAGGGCCATAAACAAAAAAAAAACAAAAAACTCTGGAGGTCCCGCGCGCGATTTCTCGATCGGCGTTGGGGCCCGCCCGGACGAGCGCCTCCGGCGCCGCGCCTGGCGCGCTCCGCGCGCCAGGGAGGGGGGTCCAGCGCCGATCCGAGAAATCCGCGCGGACCTCCGAGTTTTCATGTTTATGTAATGTTTTGTTCCCCTAACAGAACAACCAGGACATGGCAAACCAAGGAAACGACACCATTTCCTGTAAAATCCCATTTCTCAGCACCCGTGTTGCGTTGCAGGGTTCGGGTTCGTGTCCGGGGTTAGGGGGGTCTTGCAGGCTTTCAGGGCGTGTGCCCACGTCTATCATGGACATCCTGCAGTGGAATATTTCGTTCGTGCCGCCGTCTGGAAAACTTAATCTCGGGGGATGTTGGGTGTCCGGGTCTAGCGTGTCCAAGTTTACGGGGCCCTGGGGGAGGGGGCGGCCGCCCCGAGGGCTGCGGCTGGCCCCGCAAACCGCGGCAGAAGGCGCGCGCCCGCAGGCTTGCGGCTCCTCCTCCTCCTCCTGCTTTTCCTCATCCTTTCCTCTTCCTCCTCCTCCACCTTCCGCACGGCCTTGTCATCTGAGATCGGCGCCCCTGTTGCTAGCACGATCGGTACGAACCACGGCACGCTCTTGGACATGCTCTCACAGCTGCAAGCCGCTGTCGCCGAGCAGACGACCGACGTGCAGCAGCAAATCCAGAATGCGATCGCCCCTCGGTTGGATGCCCTCGATCGCAAGATACAGGCCCAGCTCGACGAGCACTCGGGCCCCATCAACTCCGCCCAGCACCGCCTCGACACGCATGACACCGAGCTGGCGGAGCTCCGCGCCCAGATGGACACCCGCCGCGAGGAACTCGCACTCGCCAGTGAGAAGCCCAAGCCCCAGGCCGTCATTCCGTCCTCCTTCGACCGCGAGGCCGACCCCGCCATCCTCGTCGCGGTTTCCCAGAAGGTCACCACCATCGCCAGCGTGCAGCTGGAGCTCTCCCCCTGGTTGGAGTCCCTTGGCTTCGAGCCCTCCGACTTCAAGATCGAGCAGCGCTCGGTGGCGCCGCCCAAGCGCTTCGAGATTCGCTTTTCTGGGCCCCCTGGAGTTACTGCCCGCAAGGTATCAAAAGCCTTTGCCAACCTCAAGTCCACTGGTGCGTGGAGTGAGTTTTGGGTCATTCCACCCGGAGCCGAGCGTTGCCGCCTCCACCTGGGCCCTGACAGGGGCCCCAAGCAAATCAAGCTCGAGGCCACCCTCCGCAAGGCCCGTGCCATCGTGGAGGAGAGGTACCCCAACGGGCGATACTACTCCGACCGCGCGCGCGGGGTCCTCTCTGTCGGCTGGGACAAGATCATGAAATCTCAGGTTTTCCCACGGCGATGAGCCGCCGAAGATCTCCTGGGACATCCCGCAGCTCATCAATAACGACATGTCCGACGCGCTGCTGCGCGAGGCCATTGGGCCGCCCGCGGCGCCCGCGGACCCGAGCCATCGGCCCCTTCAGCGTCGCCTCCCTCTTCCAGCTCCCGCGCGCGGCCGATGCCCCATGGTCAGCGCTGCGGTTTGCGACCTGGAACTCACGCGCCCTGCGCCAGGCCGGCGGGGACAAGGCCGCCCTGAAGCGCAACTACTTTCTGCGGCTTCGCCCCGGGGCGCCGCGATCATTTCGCTCCAGGAGGTCCATCAGGATCACTTGCAGCTGGCCGACTTCGCCCATTCGTGCGCGCCGAACGCGGCCGTGCACTCTAGCTTTTTCGGCTCGGCCCCCGAGGATCGGACCCGCGGCGGCGCGGCTGTTCTCCTTCCTCTTCTTACCGCGGGGGGCGGTTCTCGGACTACGTCTTCGCAGAGTGCGTTCGTTCTTGGGCGTGCGATGGTAGTTATTGTGTCTTCGGTTCGCTTTACTTTCTACGTTTTCAACATTCATAACCATGGCCTGTCCGTCACTGACGCGCAGCACATTTCAGAGTAGGTTCGCCGTGCAAAGGCTGCCGCGGACCTGGACACCGAGCACACCATGGTCGTGCTGCACGGGGACTTCAATTTCGCGACGCACGAGTCGGTCTGCCCGCACATGCCAGAGGCCGTCGTTCGTCGAGGAGCGCGCCAACACCACGCTCGTGCCCCCAAGTGGCGGGGGACCTCGGCGACCTTGCTGGAGGTCGACTGCGACCAGCCGACCCGCCACGAGAAAAGCACGAACTGCGGCGCCATCATCGACCGTGTCTTCTGTTCTCTCGCGGGCTGGCAGGTCCGCCAGCATCCATCAGCGTCTCCACCGTCGATTTGGCCGCAGCTGTCTTTGATTAGAAAATCTCGGGCCACACGGTTCAAGAGGCGCTCGGAGGGCCTGGCCGAGGCCGCCGACTGGTCCGCCCTGACGCGCCCCAGGAAGTTCGAGCATTTTATATGGTTTCGCTGAAAATCGCGGTGGCCGAGGCTAGGGACCGACCCGACCATCCCCATGTCCTGCTCCGGCTCTGTCGCGCTCCCGCTCGAGTCGTCTGGCGTCGAGATGCTGTCCTGGCACTCTGTCTCTGTGCTTCTCATCCGCTGGCAGGTGACTTCATCATTGCATCTGGCGGCTCAATCGAACTCAGGCGCCCTCCGAGCCTTCGGGCGCGGGGCGATGAGACCCAGGCGGGAGCGGCGGAAGTGCCTGAGCGGGAGCTTCAGGCGCGGAGGCAGGCGGAAGGAGACCGCGATCAATTTCGAGCCCATCTTCGATATCTGGAGCGTCGCGCGCTTGTGGCCGCCACAGCACAAACGGGTTTCTCTCACTGCCGTTGCTGGCGAGGGCGGTGATCGGATCGAGGACCTTATGGGGTGTCTCCAAGCTCTGGCAACTTTTCATATTCCAGCCTCGACGCGCACGGATTGGGATGGTGCCGCTGTTCCTGCTTATCGCCAGGCGCCCCCCCCCCCCCCTGCTGCCGTCCATCTCCCACCGCCCTCCCGCGCGATGCTGCGCTCTACTCTGGAGAGGGCCCGCCACTCGGCCACGGGCACCGACGCTCTTCCCTTCTCGGCATGGGTGGCTTCACCCTCTACGATCGACGTTCTCTGGGAGGCTCTCGAATGGTTATGTTCTGGGCAGTCATTGTTCGATGGCGCTGAGGGCGCCATTCAGAAATTCGGGCCCAAGAGTGCGTCGGACCTCGAGCTCTTATCTGGGGACTGCGCGCGGGCCCCCGACATGGCGCGGGCCTTTGGGCCCAGCAGCTGCGACGCGACGCTGACCTCGGCCACCAGAAACCGCGCGATCTGCCCCGCCCCCCAGGCCCCCGCCCCGCAGTGCAAGAGAGGTTTCATCCCAGGGAGAAACTTCGGGCGCAGAATCCTGGAGCTCGACGTCGCCAGCCGTGTACTTTCGGTCGGAGAGCCTAGGTCCAGCGCGATCCCGCTCGCGTTCAGCTTCGACTTCGGGCAGGCCTTCCCGCCCCTGAACCAGGACTTCCCCCTCTTGTCCCTGCGGGCCCCCCACTTGCCCGGGGCCTCCCTCTCGTTCGTTAAGGCCCTCTATCTCTCGATCCAAGGGGCGGTCATGAGCATGAGCGTCCTCTTCCACCTCTACTGGGCCCATCGTGGCACCATCCGGGGCTGCGCGCTTTCGGGCGCGTAACTTGTTGTCAGTGCGTCTGCGTTACTGCGCCATCTTGCCGGCGTGGTTTGAGGGCCCCCACCTTGGCCTTGCTCGTGCGCGCGCTGATGGCATTGGTGGGTTGGTTGCTGACGCGGCCGATCTCCGCGGCGCGCGCGGCGACATGCATCAGGCCACGAGATTGGCCAACCTTTGTCTGAAGGCCCCCAAGTGCAAGGGCGCCCCCCACTCGGCCCCCTCCCCACCTGACCTGGCGCATCGCGTCAGGGCGGCCACTGCCGACGAGGTTCCAGAGTGGAGCCAGTTCGAGGTCTCGCCCTCCCTCCTGTACCTGGGCATATTGCTGGGCCCTGGTGGGGATCCGTCAACGCCCTGGCTCGAGATTGTCTCTAAGCTTCGGCTCCGTGCCCAGGCTATCGGCAGGCGCGCCGCGCCTGCCAGCCTGTCTTCCATCTTGCACCACACGCGGGCGGCCTCCACCTTCACCTGCGTCGCGCAGTTATGCTGGCCACCTGCTACCGCGCTGCTGCCCGAGCTCTCCGCCCTCGCGCAGGTGTTCCACATCCCGCTCGGCGTCCTGGACCTGGC